CCGCCCCCGAGGCGGCCCCCTCTCCGGAATTGCCGGCCGCAGAGCCGCCAGCCCAGCCCTCCGGCCCGCGCCGCCACCTGCTGCGCGCGCATGGCCAGCCCCAGGGGCCAGAGGGCCGCAGCGGCGGCGGCGGCGCGCGCCGCCTGGCGCAGTCGAGCTCCTTCAGCTCCTCCACGGTCAACGGTCAAACGGTGACTCAGCAGGCGTCCGCGCCCAGCGGCCCGGTCAGCACCTCCACCTCCCTGCCCGCCGGCGCCGGCGCGGCGCCGCTGCAGATGCCGGCCATGCAGATGCCCGGCGCACAGGCGCCGCAGGTGACGCCGCTGTTCTTCCCCGAGCCCTCGCTCCAGGGCCAGCCGGCGCCACAGGAGGCGCCCCCGCAGGCCGCCGCCGCCGCCCAGCCGTTCCGCGCGGCCGCGGCCGAGGGCGGGCAGGAGCAGGGGGCGGCTGTCGTATCAACAAACTGCTCAGTTGAGGCCGGACAGCTGGCGATGCTGCCGCCGCCCGCGTGAGGGGCCCGCTCGCCGGGCGCTGCCGCCCTGGACGGCGCGGGCGTCGCGGCGGCCGCCTGTGTGCTGCTGGCAAACACGCGGAGTTTCAAGGGTGCATGGGAGTGCCAGCAGCGCCGGCCTCGACACTGACAGAGATGGACCGGTCAGACGTGGGGTACAGGATGGGGCCGCCCAAAATGCGCAAGCTGCGGCCCGCCAAGGGGAGCGACGGTGCAATCCCTCGGCGAGGCTGACGCACGGTGCTGCTGTTTGATGCTGTGCAGTTGCGGCGTGCGATTTGTGCTGCGGCATGCATGAGCGCGAGGGTACAACACATGCACGCGCTGCTGATTTTCCTCCTGACTTCAAGCCTTTGAATGTAGACGGGGCGCCAAGGCGTGGGACCTAACATTGGTGAAGAGGGGTAGGGACACGCAGGTGGATGACTTGGCAGGGAGTTCCGCTGTGCCTCTGCTGCTGCTGATTTTGCTGTTGTCGTTTGTCACCGTGTCTGTATGAACACTTCTGTAACAAAAAATGTTGTGAGCACAACGCGTCCCCACACAAGGCAATGATTGTGAGCCTCAAAACCCTAGTGAGCGCGACGCTGCCCTGCAGGCGCAGAGGAGTAGCGAAGCAGTGGTACCGATGGTGGATGGATGGATGGTGGGACTGTACTCCCTTACTAATTGCAGCCGCGCCACCATACAATCTGGAGGAGGATGCGTCGCAACAGCCCATAGAGGGGGTTGGTACGTGCGCAGCCTGGCTGTCACAAAAATCTACACACCAGACGGGATTTTTTGGGGGGGCGGGGGGCTGTGCTTACTGACCACGGTTTATCATCAGCGTGTGCAGGATGGCAGCAGTGCACCTCAAGCTAACCCAACGCCACGAAACCTGTGTTGACCTGTGCATGGTTGCCCTTGTCGTCTTGCCCCACCTGCACCTGCCAACACGCCACGCATCTCAAACTGTCACAGAGGGCTAATGGATTTTACAGGAGCGCAGCGCACTGCACACCCAAGAAATCTCAGAAGCTTTTTATTCCTCAAGGTACGACCCTTACAGCCTGTGGACAGGGACGTTCTTACGCGCAGGGCAGCAGGTTTACAGGCAGACACGCACTTTTATCCAGCCAGTAGGAAGGTCAACCAAGCACGAGCGCACAAGGCTTGCCAAAGGGCAAACGGCCTGATCAGGCGGCAATGCAGAAATGTGGTGGGACAAATGACTGCACTACAGGCCCAATCAGCCTCACTCCGTGTGCAGGGGTGGGCCAGAAACAACAGTCCGGGGTGAGTGACCTCCAAGGGGTCGGTAACAATGAGTCATTGGCTGCCCTAATTTCTGGAAAAGTGTCAAAGGGTGTCGAGCCGCTGGTCCAAGTTGATACGGTAGCCTAGGGATGGTTGAGGTCAGGTGCCTGGGGTCAGACACATTGTTGGGCTCTTGTTGCAGGAATGGTGGCTGCTGCAACTGGGGCTGCACCAGCGCCTCTGACAGTGCTTGAAGGCAAGTACGGTGGTGTCACCAAGGGGGTCACAGGAAGGAGAAGACACTTGGTTCTGCGATCTGTTGCCTGGAGCCTGATCTCATGCGCGTTTTTTGAGCTTGATTCTGGGGGCAAAGGTGGCCTGGCCTGGCCGCGATGACGACGCACCATGCCGTGGTACCCATGCCTTGCCCATGCGCTGCCGGCACCAAGCTGGTGGCTGCTGAACGCCGCTGCAGCCTCTGCAGCCGCGACAGCGCCACCAGCGTTGGCGGGTCAGCGTCAATGCTCGCGGCCACCCCAGGGGTCGGTTTTGGTGGCCGGACGTTGTTTGCTGAAGACGATGTGGCGACTTAGTCGCCAGGGGATGCCCACGTGGGTGTTCAGCTGATTCGTCTTCGGTGCGCCACACCGCCTCCTCACTAAATGGTGGTGAGCGCCGCTGCAGCCCGCATCCGCGCTTGCACCATCAGTGTCAGCAGGTCGAGGTCGCTTGTCGCAGCCAAGTAGCGTCAAGAGTTGTGGTTGAAGGAAGTGTCCAGGGGGCGCGCCAGCAGCATGGAGGCGCCGATGCACGGGCCGGTCAAGCGCGTTGCACTGGAAAGCGTGGGCTTGTTGGGGCCCTTGGCGTTGCCGGGGCTTGTTGGGTCGTGTTGTGATTTCTCTGGGCATGTTGGATGTCTTGAGGGGTCTCGTTTGTGGTCTGTCGTTGATGTTTTGATCTGGTTGAAGGGTCTGATTGTCTTGTCGAGGGGCGGTCTCGACATCTTGAGAGCCTTGCGGGCGTATGGGCCCTTTGGGTCTTGATTGCATCACGTGCTGGCGCCGGGAACGGCAGCCGCCGGGCTGGGCGCGGCGGCAGCGGCGGCGGACGCGGCGGCCTCGCGGCCGCGCCGCGCGAGCGCTACAAGGTCGATGGGCAGCGGCGCCGCGCGCGCCTCCACAGCCGCCCAGTCGACGCCGGCGAAGAACGCGTGGCCCTTGAGCTGCGCCACCGTCAGGCGCCGCCGCGGGCGCCGCGCCAGCATGCCACGGAACAGCAGGTCCCGCAGCTCGGCCGGCAGCGCGGCGGCGGCGGAGCCGGGCGCGGGTACCCACTTCTTGCCGACGCGCGCGGCGGCCAGCGCCGCGGTGACCTCGGGCAGCGGCAGCAGCATCGCAGACAGGGTCACGCCCATGGCCCACATGTCGGCGGGGCGGCTGTCGTGCTTGAAGCCCAGGCGCGTCGTCAACTCCTTGATGAGCACGCGGATGTCAAAGCTGAGTTTGCCCCAGAAGCTGTCAAAGTCAACAAAGTGCTCTGGCGCCATGAAGAGCGGCGTGCCGCCCTCCCCCAGCGCGGGCTCCGAGGCCGGCGCGGCGCAGCCAAAGTTGCAGAGCCTCAGGTGGCCGTCCGCCGCCACCAGCAGGTTGTCGGGCTTGATGTCGCGGTGCACGATGCCGGCGGCGTGGACGGTGCCGACGGCAGTGATGAGCTCCGCGGCGAGGGCCTTGGCGGCGGGGATGGGCAGGTAGGGCTCGGCCGGCTGCTGCTGCTGCTGCTGCTGCTGGGCCTGAGATTCCTTCTTGCCGCGCCTGAAAAACGCGTTTATCAGCCGCTTGAGCGGCGGGCTCTTGGTGTGGGCGCCCTGTGGCACCTGGGGCTTGGCATCCGGCGACGCCGCGTGCTGGGACAGCTTGGCTGACGGGCGGCCCGCCACGGCCGGCGCTCCGCTCACACCAATCTTCTTGTCAGCGGCGGCGGCGGCGGCGGCCCAGGCGTGCCCCTCCAGCGCGTCTGTCAGGCTGCCGGGCGCCAGCTCGAAGAGCGAGTAGTGCGCTGCAGGGCTCATGCCAACATCGCTGGTGATGCATTTCTGCACCCAGGGGCCTCCGACGGTGTCGACACCGTATTCACTTGAGAAGATGCCCAGCTCGCGCTTCAGCGCATAGTGGTGGCCCAGCAACTTGACTTGCCGCACCTCGCCCTGGGCGCCAATGCCCAGAGGGGTGCCCTTGTTGAAGAGCTGCGCCGCGCCACTCAGGCAAAACTCCAACTCAACTTGCGCGTGGGTTGGCACGGAGGTCTGCGGCTGTGATGGTGACGGTGGCACTGTGGTCGAGCCGGGGGAGGAAGCGCCGCTCAGGCCCTGCACCGTCGGCGACTGGGCAGATGATGTGTCCTCGGTGCCACTGCCCCAATCGCCGCTGTGCCAACCGAAACTGCTCTGGGGGCTGCTGTTCGCGACGACTGTCACGCATGACACAGTTGCATCCTTCTGCCTCTGGTTGTTTGCGGTGATAATGGCCAGACCAGAACCGTTGGGGCTGGTGTTATGTGTCTTCAGAGCGGCAGAGGTGTTGCTGGACGGTGTTGTGCTGCAGTGCTTGGTCGCCCTGCGGTAGAGAAAACGCGGAGCGGGGTGAAGCAGGCGCAGGTATATGGAACAGGTGTGCAATAACATCACACGTGTGGCCGCCTCTAGAGGCATCCAGGCCGACGGGTATGTACTGCAAGCATCAATTGTTATGCGACTGGGACTCGGGTGGCTGGCAACGGAGGTCGTGTGTTGTGAACACATACATGCGGGCATCGCATGCCTATGTGTGCACAGTGCACATAAAATGGTAGCAACGGGCTCGGCAGGCGAAGAGTATCAGTACACACATCAGGGAGCAGCAGAACGAGCTGGTCGTCACCTTTTGGTGCTGCTGGTGCTGCTGGTGCTGCTCGGCTGCGCCGCCATGCCGCTGCCGCGGCCTTGATCCACAGGCTCCCTGCGAGGTTTTGATGACTTGTTTCATAGAATGATTGACATCATCCAAAGCGTTCAATCCCGTTGCTCACGCCGAGTGGCCTGGGTGCTGTCGTTGCGATGTCCTGCTGACCGCGCACCTGGAGCCCTTGTTAGTCTTGACTGCCGCCTTGAGAAAGGACCACGCCATCTGTGACTTCTGTGATACACACTGATACTGCTCGTTTACGCCCTGATGCTCTTGCCTGTAACTGCCCTGGTAGACGTACAGTATTCCGATCGATAAAAGCGAGATGCTAGGGTATGAGTATATTCAAGACAGTGTGCGAATACTGTACCCTCCGCCGCCCATATGAAGAGGCAGGGAGAGTTGTTTTGCAACGCAGTGCGTCGGTGGCGATTGCGTGCAGCTGCCATTTTTCAATCTTGCAGAACTTGCGCTCCTCACCGCTGGCACCGCAGCCTTGGGAGTGGAAAGTGCAAAAATCACATTGTCTGAGCATACGTCATGGGAGGCTGGCAGCATGTACAACACTGGGCAAAGCAGAACCCACAACCACATTGCCGGCAACTGCCCAAGGCAGCAACGGCGACGCAGGCAGTCCGACGTCTTTCCAGGAGGTGCCTCCACATGTGACCGCAGCCCTCGCCCGACCCGCCCTCACCCGCTGGGTGTCCTTGCAGGCACCGCTGGCGTGTGGGGGCGAGACCGCCGCTGGTTGGATCACGACTTTTGTGTTGGTGAAACAGGCACGCGAACAGCTGGTGGGGGTGAGAGCAGGTCAGCACCAGCCTGCACCCAGTGCGTGCGCCCGCCGATAGTCTCCTTTCCTGTTTGTGGAGGGCGATGCGTCTCTCGCCATCCTGGGAACTGGCAGCTGCCAGCAGCGCGCAGCCGCCAGCTTCGCAGTCGAAAGGGCACAACCAAGACCAGGAGAGCCCACCAGCCAGGCAAGCCACAGGGTATGCATGCGCTGCTTTGTTGCGTTGTGCTACCATGGATGCGTCGCGTGAGGATGCGGCGGGCGATTCGTGCCCGCGAGGTGCGTGCGGCATGTAGTGAGGCGGTTGAGTGGCATGGGCTTTTGGACTCATGTCCTGCCGCTCGCGATTTTACCAGGGCCCCTCTGCGGTGCCAACAGGCCAGGGGAAAGGTCACCACCTCAGCAGGGGTCTGGGGCTGTGACATGCGCATACCTAGGTTATGCAAATGCATCTGAGTTGGTCAACTCCATGTGCGCGTGGTCCATGTGCGCGCGGCGGCCTACCGGCAGCGCCCGTCCCACTCTAATAACAACAGAGCGGTTGCGGCGCAACGAGCTCTGGGTGACGGGCTGGCGGCACGAGTTGGAAAGCCGGACGGCAGGCTTGAGGACTTACACAAAACACATGAGGAACTTTTAGACACCATTGTATGCACTGCAGGTCCAATAAACCATCATGTCACCCGGACCGGCAGCCGCCGCGCAATACGCGTCACTGCAGCCGAACGCTGCGAGTTCCGTCCGCGAAATAAATGAGCTCCCATGGCAAGCGCTCGCGTGATTGATTGCACTGCAAAACGAATCAGAAAACGCGAAGCATACACGCACATTCTCACCTGCACCAAATATCAAGGTTCAGAACGTCGGAGGGCCGACCGTCGCGGAATTCTGCGAGTGAAAAGAGACAGCGGGACGCCACAGAGGTCAGTTTTCGATCACTGTTGAGAGTAGTAAACGGTGTAGACGGGCTGCAACGTGTGGGACCTGGGCCCGGCTGCCTTTCAGCAGCCGGCCTGCGCGCCGTCAGCAGCACCGATCCCTAATGATCGCCTCCCTCCCGGGTGCCTCCCTCGGGTGACCCTTCACCACCAGCAGCTGATTATCGCCCACTTGCCCCCGAATTTCTGTTTAATCTACCCGCAGGTCAACAATCGATCTACACAGGGCGTCGCATCGCGCGGCACACCCAAAAAAGCTCACGCGGCGCTGGGACAGTTCCACGCCGCCAGCAGCAGGCATGCCGACCCATGCAGCCGTCATGGGCCTCGACCATCCCCTGGTCCTCTTGGCGCCCTTGGCATTTGTGACCGTCGCCGTCGTCGCCCTGGCGGCTGCATACTACCGCCGCCGCGCCGCAGCGTCAGCCGCGTCCGCAGCAGCCGCGGCGGATGCGGCGGCAGCAGCAGCTGCGCAGGTGGTGGTGGTGGTTGTCCCGGCAGACGCGTCCAAGGCAGCCGCGGCCGCCCAGTTGGCGGCGCCCTCGCCATCGCGGCAGCAGGTTGGCGTCGCCCTGGCCCGCGCCAAGACGTGGCGGGCGGCCCATGAGGCCGCGGCGGCCGCAGCAGCTGCACCTGTGACCACAGCTGCTGCGTCGCCGGCTCCCTCACCGGCCGCACTCAATACCTCGGGCCCCCAGCAGGCGCACAGCGCGTCAATCCGGCAGGCCAGCCCAAACACGGTCACCACTCAGCCCGCTGCGGCGATGAGCCAGGATGACATTGCTCGGGCGAAGAAGTGGCGCGCACACAACATCCCCACGCCGTTTGCAGCAGAAGCGGTGCAGCGGGCGGCCTCGGACACGCACCGGCGGCAGCAAATGTTCGCGGCGGCGGCGGCGGCGTGCAGGGCAAAGTTGGTGCCTGGCGGCTGCATCCCTGCGTCTCTGGCACAACCGCGGCCCTGCGCTGGCTCAGCTTGATGGGTGCCCCGGCCCCCTACAGGGCAGGTTTGCAGTTTGACAGTGGTTTGATTACTCGCTCTCCTGTTCAGAGGTCCATCGTAGGTCTGGTTGGCCAAACGCCGCGTCTCTGTTCATATGACCACAACACTCCTGAATTGCCAAGCCACCTGGCGAAGAGGAAGATGCTTGACGGCGCCCAAAAGCCACCACATAAAGCCAAGAGCCCCCATGCTCCTCTGGCCACCATGACCCCACACATACGACACAAGTATTTACAAGCGAGCAACGCCCCCTGCTGTGCGTGCGCCACCTTTACACGACGCCCCCGCACACATTTGCGCACGCAGTTGCGCAGCCGCCCAGGCCCTCCGCCTGCTGTGCCTGGCTGCGCCTCCGTACTCTACTTGGGAGACGACTGCTGTTTTTGTAGGCTGCTGTCTGAGTGCAGGAGTCCAGCAAAGTTGTATAGCATAGCCTGCAGGGCTTTTGCCGGCCATAAGTTGCTTTTGGGCGTTGCTTCAGCCTCAAAAGCTGCCATCCCCTTCTCTCTTGGACGTAATCGCACCCCCCGCCTCCTTTGGAGGGGGCGGCCCAATGTGATTGGGCGCCGCTGCACAAGTAGCGCACGCTACGCTGTAAACAGCAGTCGGTCTGCAATTTTGAACGCCATGCTTAAGGTGTTGCGATCAGCGGCGGGGTGCTCTGGGTGTGCCACGGTTACAACCAGAAAGCAAGGCTACTGCAATGGCGTGCTGGGCAACGTGCAGCGTATTTCCAGCAAAGCAGGATTGTCCCCCGTAGTCAAGGTCATCAGCAGGGTTGGAAAAAATGGAAGACTGAGAATTCCAAAAACCAGACTGATCATGCATATCGACAACCTTGGTTGGCCCGAGGCGCTCTGCCGCGCGCAGCCCAGCAGCGCCCGCTCCGCGGGGATGCAGTCTCACTTGTGACGCGCTCCGCGGGCCGCTGCTTGATTATGCGGTGCCTGCGTCGCCTCAGGGCGGCATCCGCCCCAGCATGATGCCTCCCCCTCTGTGCTGCACCCCTGAATGCTGTTCCCCACGATTTGCCCCCACTGTGTGATTTCATCCACACTCTGCCCCCGTGCCTGATGGGCCCTACGCACGCTGAAGCCCCCGTGCCTGATGACCGGCGACCCGTGCACCCCTGGATGCTGCCCGACTGCAGTAAGCTCAAAATGTGCAGACCTGCGGCCCCTGTTCAAAGGGAGAGTGGCCTGCATTGGGCCCCTGCCTCCTGCCCCCGCCTGACATCAATCCCTTCCCGGCACCCCTTCTTATGTATCATATTGTGAGGTCCTCCACATCCAGGCTGTCAAGCCTCACAAATGCCTCTATGGCATGATACTCCTGGAAGGAGGGGGTGGGCGCGTGAGGGA